AAAACACAGCTGCCAGGCTCATAACACGCATACATATGTATGTGCACATAACACCAGTCCTGAAGGACTTACACTGGCTCCCTGTAAAAGACTTGTGTTTGTTTACAAGTCCATTAATGGGCTTGTTCCATTCTATCTCCAGGAACTAGTCAACCTTCACAAGCCTGAAAGGTCACTCAGATCAGCTAGTCAGTAAAGCTTAGATGTTCCATCTGTCCGAACCACACCATACGCGGGCAGGACACTTAGCAGAGCGGGTGCTGTACTCTGGAGTGGATTACCTGAAAATGTCAGAAAATCGGTTTCCGATCTTGTCTCAAAACCGTCCTCTTCAAACGAGCATTCGACTAAGCGCACATGAGCAGGACTCTGGATATGTAGCGCTATACAAATCTCTAATTATTTGATTTGATTTGATTTGATTCCTCCATTCTTGTTGCAAGGCCAGTGTGACATCTGCGACGTTGGCTTGCGGTGGCTGACGTCGATAAACACGTCTCCCAAGTTCATCCCCCAAAATGCTCAATAGGGTTGGGATCTGGTGAATACACTGGCCAGTCCATCACATTTATTCCAGCTTACTGAATGAATGCTTGTGTCACTCTGGCAGCATGTTGGGGTTGTTATGTTGGAATGTTAGTTGACGTCGAGGGCGTTGGTGAAGACGCAGCAAAAGAACCACTACGGGCCTTGGAACTTCATCCACATAAAGCTGTGCAGTCAGATTACCTTGGATGACAAGCAGATCACTCCTGAAACGTGCGCTGATGCCCCCAAACCATTACACTACCACCACCAAATCGATTTCTCTGTCTGACACATGGGCCTGCATAACGTTCACCACGACGTCTGTAAACACGCTGTCTTCCATCCACAAATGACGCACAATACCGTGACTCGTCCGAAAAGACAAGCCTACGGAAGAAAAGTGGTTGTTGTTGCACATACTGCTGTGCGAACTGACGTCGGCTTGGCGGTGACGGGGCTGAAGCACTTGGCCACGGTATGAACGTCGACAGTTCAGTCCGGCTTGTCTCAGGCGTCGAATGACTGTCGATGGGTTGATCCTTCTTCCATGGCTACCAATAGTTGCTGCTGCTGTTGTTGTTGCCGTTCTGTAGCGATCTTGAAGGTGCGCCAGTCGCATCTGTCGATCTTGTCTGGCCGTCGTAACCGGAAGTCGTCCTGGTCGAGGGCGGTCGGCAATGCTCCCTGTCATCTGGTGACGACTCACAAGACAGCTAATGGTGGACTGGTTGACATTAAGGCGCCTAGCAACAACATTTTGTAAAGAGCCGGCTTCAAGGAGTCCCACAGCGTGTGCACGTTGCTGCAGATTCACATGTTTAAGACTGGCTACTGAGCTCTCTATACACGTGCATTATATGGGAAAGACCTCACAAAGTGCACGTGCATTTTCATTGTCAGGATTGCCTTGCTGTGTTTCAACGAATGATCCAAAATGCGTTTTCACGAATCTTTCTGTTTCCGGAAGCATGAAGTGGATTTAAACTCAAACAACTGTTCCTAATCAAGTCTTTAACATTCATTTCAAATATTCAGTGCATCATTAGTATTTCTCACTTATGTTTCAAAAATGATCTGAAAAAAAAACCCTTATGCGTTTTCATTGAGGATCAGTATATAATTGAGTATTATAAATCGTTTGTGTGTTGTTTTGCTGGTTTAAAGGAGACCCACAAGCCTTTTATCTCAGTAATTTCTAAACCATAACACCAGAAACTCTTAATAGCGTTAACTCTGTTGTGATTAGTGCTGTCAAACCCCGACCCGTCATAGAATACGTCCACAGTTCCATACTGCTGGTTTGCCCAGAGATAAGATCGGTTGAACAGACGCTGCCACGTATTGATCTGGTGGCAACCTGCTCAGCTGAAGTAAATCGCTGCTTTATAGTTTTCGTGTGACAAATGAATGGATAGACTTCTATTTGTGATCACTGGGCATTCTTATCTTGATTGTTCATTAGTTGTCACGAATAAGTCGGCTAGTCGTTACAACGGTCTGTTGAATTTGATGAGTGCAATGTCTTCGTGACCTAAATATTTATGTTTTACTCCTTACTATTATCTTGCCATATTTGGTGTACTTGGATGATTAAACTATAATTGCATGTAGATTATGTATTGTTACTTCGTTCGAAGTTATGAAAGACATCCCTGTGTAAAACGACTTGATGACGTAATGTACGCTGATTTGCTGGGGCGCTGGGGTTGCCTAGTGGTTAAAGCGTTCACTTGTCACGCCGAAGACCCGGGTTCGATTCCCCACATGGGTACAATGTGTAAAGCCCATTTCTGGTGTACCCCTCCGTGATATTGCTGGAATATTGCTAAAAGCGGCGTAAAACTAAACTCACTTACTCACGGATTAGCTGTCCAATAAAGTCATTTGTAAAGTCACACGTCGTCTTTTGTCTTAATGTCACTGTTCCGTATGCACAGTTAAACTAGTCTCTGCACACTTGAATTTATTGTTTTCTTCGGTATTAAACCGCCTCCGTGGTCTAGTGGTTAGAGCGTCCGCTCGGAGAGCGGAAGGTCGCGGGTTCGATTCCCGACCACGTCATACCTAAAGACGTTAAAATATGGTACTTGTTGGTCCCTGCCTGGCGCTCGGCATTAATGGGTACAACAAGGACTGGTCGGCTCGGAGTCAGTATAATGTGTCTGAGTGGGGTATTCCTGCTTCACTGCGGCATGGTATCTCAGTGGGCTAGCACTATAAAACCAGCTTCAGTCTGGGCTAGTACAAGCAGCCGCACATACACATACATACACACGCATGCACGTCGTCATATGAGCGAAATATTCTCAAGTACGACGTTAAACCCAATTTCACCTCACCTCTTCGTTATTAGTACATATATGACAGTTTCCAACCCTACAAACTCCGACGAACAAAGGTGAACGTGACATTGTGTGGCTTTCACTCTTCGAAGGGACACACAGACAGACATAACATTTGCCGCGCACTGAACCGGTCTAAGGGAGATTACTCATTACGCTACCTGTTACAGTCCCCCCAAATTAGGATTCTCTAATTTCTAACACTTGTACAGCATTATCTGCAAAAAAAACAGAACCACCTGTACATAAACTGACAAAGCTGTAACGAAAACTCTCATGAATAAAATTACTTCAAATTCTGTTAGACTTTCACACATCATTAACATCACACACTAAATCATTGTGGTGATTTTGGCACAGAATGTCTCATCAAACTATGAATGTTCATGTTAATGTCCGTGTAAATGTCATTTGGCACTGGTTGCACAGTTCAGATTCATTCGGCTCGTCCCTCTCCACCAACAAAACCAATTTTTGAATTAGTCTCTCCAGGTATGATACAGGTCCAAGTCTCTTGCCACTCACTGTCAGGTCTCTGTTCCCGACAGCCACCTTCACTCTACGTACAAGAGTGTCCTTACCAGTGAAAGTTTCGCAAACACGTGCAATCTTCCACTGATTTCGACGTAGATTATCATCCATGATTAACGTCACCAGCTTTCAGAGTTCTACATGGTCGTAACCACTTCTGACGTACTTGCAGGTTCTGCACAAACTCTCTTCTCCACCTGTGCCAAAATTCATTGACACGTCTCAATTGCTTGTGAGAATACATGTCCTCTTTCTGAAAATTGCCGAGAGGCGGTAAAAGAATGTTTGATTTAGTGGTGAGAAGATGGTTTGGTGTCAGCGGTTCTGATGAGTTTGGATCAAACAAAGTGTCCACTGTTAATGGCCGACTGTTCACTATCGCCATTACTTGAGCCATTAAGGTTCGTAAACCTTTGTCATCCAGTTGCTTTCCGACTTGTGATATGAGGTTAGAGAGTACACTTCTGATCGAACGAATCTGTCGTTCCCATGCTCCCCCCATGTGGCTAGCACTGGGTGGATTCATGACAAATGACACAAAGTCACAGTTTTTGCTCAATAGGAAGTTCTTCACAGAATCTGGATCATACAATTCTCCTTGAGCTCCCACAAAGTTAGTACCCTGATCTCATCTCAACTGGCGAACAGGTCCTCTCACAGCGATGAACCTCCTCAACGCATTTATGAATGAATGCGTAGACAATGTGTGGGTAACCTCCATGTGTACAGCCCTACACACTAAACAGGTAAACAAAGCGCCATAACGCTTTAGTTCCTTTCTTCCTTCTTTCACGTAAAACGGACCAAACATGTCCATACCGCAATAGGTGAATGGAGGAGCCTCTGACATTTTTTCAGTTGGCAATTCGACATGTTCTGTTGCTGAACTGAACCACGCTGTTTTCTACATATCACACACTTCGCGATATGATACCTCGCTGATGATGAACAATCGATTATCCCAAAGCATTGAGTACGTATGACAATTGCTGTGAGTCCACGTCCCTGGTGTGCTGCCTCCTCGTGATTATGTCCGATTATGAGTGTTGTTATATGGTGACGCTTGGGTAGAATGATCGGATGTTTCAAATTGTCCGAAAGGTCACTCAACTGAACTCTTCCTCCAACACAAAGAAGACCATTGTGGTCTACAAACGGGTCAAGCTTGAACAATGGACTTGTTCCACTAACTTGTTTCAAGTTCCTTTTACGACTAACTTCACTCTGACGACTGTTGTCAAAGCACTTTCCGTCGATACAATCTTGAAATTTTCCACTTCAAAACCTTCAGTTCACCTGAGAAGCACTCAGATTGCACATGTTTAAGAATCTCAAGTTCAGCTTTTCCAACTGATCAACAGACAGTGATCCTATAACTGGAGTCACACCTTTATCAACAGATTCATTGGGTGATTCCTCACGAATTCTATGCATAAGCTTTTGCTTTAATCTAAAATAATGAGCAACAGCTTTCTTGGCATTGTTCCACGTTGAACAATGACTCAGATGACTCACTTCGAACGTTGTTCGAACACTAGAAGCGAGGGTTTTCACTCACTTTATCTCTGAATCATCCAGAGACATCTCAAAACTTTCACATTACTGTTTATCAATGTCGAACTTGGGATCACACAAGAATCTTGGACCACTGAGCCAAGTTGATGTGGCCAAGTTCTGAGCACCAACACCTTCGTCTGCAGGATTGTCCACACCCTTGACGTGTCTCAACTGATCTGGTGTTGTATGTTCTCTGATCTGTTGAACACGATTGCCCACAAACACATGATAGCGAACTGAGTCATTTGATATGTAGCCCAACACTGCTTTGCTATCAGACCAAAACAACTCTCTTAACTTCTCACAGTGAAGTTCCCTTTGAAGAAACTGACTGATGCGTATGGAAATAGTTAGTTCTAGTTGCGCTATCGTGACTGGTTTCAGGGGACACACTCTTGCTTTCCCAATAACGAAGGCACAGCACACATTGCCATTAATGTCTGTACTCCTGAGGTAAGTACATTGACCGTAGTCTGACATGCTCGCATCAGCAAAATGATGAAGTTCCTGCGACTTGACTTCACCAAAATGTTTAGGTTTAAAACATCTTGGAATTGCTAATTCCTCTAGATAAAAACGTTCAGACCTCCATTTCTCCCACTGAGATCTTTAGATTGTCTGTTAAGGGGCTGACCCAATCCAGCTGATCCTTGCAAACAGCTTGCAAAATTTGTTTGCCTGTTAACACAACAGGAGCTATGAATCCCAGTGGATCGTAGATGTAGTTAATGGTTGATAGCACACTCCGTCTGACGAGAGGTTGATCCTTGAGTGTAATGCGGAACTGAAAAGTGTCAGATTCTATTCACCAGTTCACACGGAGGGTTCGTTCGAGCGGTAAATGATCTTTCATGAGGTCAGTTCCCTTCACCTCCTTCGCACAGTCTTCCTGCGGGACTGCTGCTTATACGTCTCTTGAATTCGATATGAATTTGTGGAGTCTTATTCCACCCTCACTGCACATCTGTTTGCTCTTCTTTATGAGCTGAACAGCTTTTTCTACTGTGAATACGGAAGTCAATCCGTCATCGACGTAGAAGTTCTCATGCACAAACTTGGTTGCATCTGAACCGTACTGGTCCTCGTAATCCTTCGACACTTGTTTTAGTCCATAGTTGGCACATCCTGGGGATGATGCTGCCCCAAACAGGTGCACAGTCATTCTGTAATCTATGGGCTCAGAGTAAATGTCATTGTTGTCCCACCACAAGAATCTAAGATAATCTCAGTGTTTTTCTACCACGTTGAATTGGTATGTTCAATGTCACATTGCACAGCAATAGATTCTTTGTGGAATCTACAGAGCACACCTATCAATTTATTTGTCCTTTCTGGTCCCTTCAATAGATGATCATTGAGTGATATGCCATGATGCTGGGCACTACAGTCAAATACTACACATATTTTGTCCTTTTTCCTGGGGTGGTACATCCCATGGTGAGGTATGCACCAAGAACGTCTTGACTCATTTCTTACATCATACACTGGCACTTGTTCATGGTGATTGTGCATGGTGATTCTTGAGACCTTTATCCATGAAACTCTTGTAATCACTCAGCTGGAGTCTATTTAAAGCAACAGTTCTGTTGTTTGGTAAGATGGGATCTGATCCCTTGAACGGCAAAGGCATTTCGTAATGTTCATCAGATCCTTGATGTATGCCATTCTCCAGTGTTGACAGAAATTCCTGGTCATCTAATGACAATGAATCACCTGAATACTTTCTGTCATTGAAATCCATTTCCATCATCTTGGATACATCGGCTGGATATACCGGTACTTCCTTGATTGAAGTCTTGTAAGATATACACACTCTCTTGGCTTTCTCTGGTTCAGACTGTAACACACATGGATTGACAGATGTCATCACGCGATGACTGAATCCAACCACTCCACAGTGGTCAATATCCTTATGATGAACAGTTCCAACTATTCCCCAACCTAAGTCTGTTCTTTGTCCATAGGGTATTGTCGTCATTGACTGATGGAACTACTTCCCTTGGCGTGAGTGCACGTGGGCAGTTGTAGCCTATCAACAAACCAACCTCTACATCACAGAGGGATAAGTTCGTTTTCCAGATGCTGCAGATGAGAGCACATTCTCACTTTATTTGGAGTTGGTATGTGCTGTCTATTTGCTGGCATAATGTCTCTGGTGTATACAGGGGCAAATTGATTTTCTCACGCTGATTAAAACCACGAATTCGTAGACCACTTATCTTCTGACTGTTGATAAGCTGATCTTCTGCCGTCATTGTGGACAACATCAACTTGATATCAAGTCCTTCAACTTGCAATGACTTACAAGTTTTGTCCAGAATGAACGTAGTGTCCGACTGGGTGTCCAATAGGGCATAGACTAAACGTTCATATTCAGGCCTATCACGATGCGATACCCACACAGGCAGTATCATAGAACACTGATCACCTTGTCCGCTGTGAACATGACCACTCACATGACTGACACTAGATTTTGTTGTTCACTTTCAACCCGACTGCTTTGTGTTTTTGTTTCCTTCGCTTCGGGTTGATGAGAGCGTTGAGGCAAAGATGACTCTTTCTGACGGATATTTCCATGAAAGGGTGTCGGGAGCATTTACTCTTTGGACAGTTAATAGATTTGTGTCCTGATTTCAAGCAAGCAAAACACAAGTTTCTTTCCTGTGTGAAATCCTTCCTTTGCTGCATGTATATAACCACAAATGCTTTACAACTGTCAATATCATGATCGTTGTTGTTACAGTACAGTACAGTACACTAACTTGTGAAGTCTGAAAAACTGTCCGTTTTCTAGGAACTATCGGTTTTTCTGAACTTGATTTCCGAGTAGGTACACGGGATAGTGTGACAGGGTCACACATAATGTCTGATCCTTTCCTGAAAAAGGAAACAAACTCCTTGAATGGGGGAAAAGAATGTCTCTGATCCCTTAAATTTGCAACAATTCTGCTCCAACCATAAGTTAGCCACTCAGGTAACTTTGTAATAGGCTTTTGATTTTCTCTCTCACCATTCCAGATGTTCAGTGTACTCAAAGACTGCATGGCGATCAAGCACTGGCTAAGATAATCCGAGGGTTTTCGTAAAGCTAAACCGACCTTAGCCTCAATCTTGGGCCATGTGTCAAGTTTGTCTCTGAATGCATTGGCGATCACAAAGGGCTGCCAAATCGTTTCTCTAACAAAGATTTTGCTTCTTCGTATGACTCACTAGTGTTCAGTAACAGAAAGCCTTCAACACACTCCTTTGCAGGTCAACCCAGATATTTCTGTAGATAGTAGATGCGTTCTGCAGGCGGCAAACCTCTACTTTCAATTAATGTCTCAAATGCACGTTTCCAACTGACGAAAGTGATTGGATCACCCGTAAATACCCCAGGTTCAGGGATAGGAATCCTTCCAAGGGAGACTTGATCAGCAAATTTTTTTGTGATTTCAGCAATGTGCAATGAATTGTCATTTTGTCTGAATTCAGGAGATAAATGAGAAAGTCTAGTGGACACACGAGGTGCAGGGGTAGGTTTCAAATTATTCTCTCTAGTTGTAGCTGTAGCAACATGAGGTTCCATAGTGGGAGTCTCCACTGGATCAGAAATCAGGGGATTTTTTCTATATAATCTTTCACATACTCTTCTAAACTTCGTTGCTTCTGATCAACTATAATGTCTCTCCCATACAAAAATGTCCTTTCACATTCATCAACTAGCACAGAAATCCTTGCCTCCGCCATGTCTAATTCTTTCTGCATCGATAATTTGTCTAGTTCTAATTTCTTACGTGATTCTGCATCTACACTTCCAATGCCGCCATGTCGGCTGCGGCTTCGGCTTTCGATGAAATTCTACTTCTGTCACTTTTCACACTAGCCGCCATATTTGATTGATTGTTACTCATATTGGCGATTTATTGTATAAATATATGCAAGAAATTCGCGTCAACTAACGATGAAAACAGTCTGACAATGTCTCACTTCACAAATCCACACATCAAACATCGAATGTCAAAGCACATGGCGACCACATGGCAAGAGCGAACGCACATTTCTACCCCATCTCAGCTTGTGAATACAATTTCACTGTTCCGTACGCACAAATTCACTCGTCTCTGCACACTTGAATTTATTGTTTTCTTCGTTACTGGTACATATATGACAGTTTCCAACCCTACAAACTCCGACGAACAACGGTGAACGTGAAATTGTGTGGCTTTCACTCTTCGAAGGGACACACAGACAGACATAACATTTGCCGCGCACAGGGAGATAACTCATTACGCTACCTGTTACAGTTACCTTGAAAGGTTAAATGGAAATGTGAGAGACTAGTGTAGACTGACTGACTGACTGAGTTTGGTTTTACGCCGCTTTTAGCAATATTCCAGCAACATCACGGCTGGGGACACCAGAAATGGGCGCTTCAGACTAGTGTAGACGTGACCATTGCACTTTGGAACCCGTGCAATGCGCAAAGCAACCATGCATCAATATACCCGATAAAAGACTTACATTATTTCACAAATATTCTTTCGTACGGCAGTTACTTTTTAATAAATAATCTGAAAGATCAGTGGACGTATACACATAATACACTGAACCACAAAAGAAACGTCGCTTTTCAAAACCAAATGCAAAATTTTGTTCTTGCAAGGTGGTGTTTTTATTATGAGTGTACCGTTTTGTGAACATGTTTTTCAATCCAAATTGACAGTTATTACCAACACCAGTGTGTTTTGTGATGAAAAAGCATTTCGACCAAACGCACCAAAAAAGGCAGATATGGTAAAAGGTTCCGTATGACATTCGTGAAAATGAAAATGCACGTGCATGTCGTGACAACCCTACCAATGAAAGCGAATCCAAACCCGCCTGAAATCATTTTTGTTTTGACACATTCCCCATGCAACGACTTACGAGAGATCAGAGGAACCAAGTCTCGGGACGATTGCAAGTTATCCAGACTGCACGGAGGGTAGTCAATCATTTTAATGTTCATCTTAGGACAATCTACCGACTGCAGGAGTGGTAACAGGTAACTAACAGCATCCAAGACCGTTCACGCAGTGGGCGACATTCAGTGACATCGCAACGCCAAGACCGACAGATTGTGCGCCACCATCTGCAGGATCGCTTCCCCAGAGCGACGGAAACACCACGCCAGACCATTGGGACTCAAAACAGACCCATCAGTGCCGGTACATTGCGTCGACGTTTGCGCAGAAGAAACTTCTGCTGTCACAGACCCTGTCGTAGCCCTGTCCTCACCGCTCATCACCGCCAAAACCGACTGCAATGGGCAACTCAGCATTGAAATTGGTGTCATCGACAATGGAGAACTGTTTTTTTATCTCATGAAAGCCGATATTGCGTTTTAACAGTCGATGGCGGAGTGAGAGTATGGTGAAGGCGTGGGGAACTGTTTTCCCATGAGTGTATTGTTGAAAGAGACTCGTGGGGTGGTCCAAGCATCATAGTGTGGGGTGCAATCGGTCTGAACCAGCTAGCTGACACTGTGGTGTTCCAGAATCTTGGTCCAGGATGAGGAAATGGCGTGACAGCTGATTGCTATATTGACCAAGTCATAGGACCCCACGTTATACCACATTTTGGACGTTACAGAAATCACATCTTCCAGCAAGACAACGGTCGTGCCCACACTACCAGAGCAGCATAGGACTTCCTAAGACAACATGGCATCCAAACCCTACAATAGCCTGCGCTCAGTCCGGATTTAAGTCGAACAGAACACCTTTTGGACGAGATTAAAAGAAGACTGAATGGCCTCCAACCAAGGCCGAGAACTGCGGCTAGACTCGATCAGGCAGTTCGCAGAGTATGGACCCAAGTACCTATGGCCTTCATAAACCGGCTAATTCATTCCATGTACAGACGATGCAACGCTTTCATCGATGCCCATGGAAGCCACACACGATACTGACTTTTGGGTATCTTAAAGGTACCATTTTTGGTGATTTTGTTTGTGTGAACTCTAAATGTGATTCCCAAATATGTGTTAACCATAATTGTCAAGTTTGAACTTAGTCCTCGGTTTTGAGTGTTAATTAAAGCGAATTCAGTATATGTTAATTAAAGCGAATTCAGTATAAACTCCGAAATGAGGAATACCTTTTCGAGTGTGAAAATGGGGAGGAATCCCTAGTTAGAAAT